TCCATCTTGAATATTACCCATAAGTACCACAGAAAAGAAAACTGCGGGGGGGGGGGGGCTGGTAAAATGGCAATGCAAATGATATGTTAATGATATTATAACAAACTAAGGTCAAGATAGGACATGTAGTTAAGCTACTGAACCTGTGTCTAAGTAGCAAAAAGGTCCCTTCAAGCAAAACATCCTGGATTGAAAGGATGTTCTTAACCACACTAGTCACACTTCCAGCTCACAATTATATAATCCGGGGTGGTACAGGGGGCGTTCCCGAAAGTGTCAAGTCTTCTCAAGACCGCCCCTCTCTGTCTGCCTAACCAGGTGCTATCTCCTCTCTCACTACTTGCCATACGATTCTCTTGAGTTTGTTGCGCGATCAACAGCTTCTTACATTTCTCCAAGTTGCGCTACTTCTGGACTCTTGGGCCCTTTCTTCACTTGAACACATTCAACACCTTTAGAATCCTGTTTCTGGCCGGGCCCGGTGGCACAGCCTGTAATCCCAGCACTTTGGGAGGCTGAGGCGAGAGGTTCGCCTGATCCCAGGGATTCGAGACCAGCCTAGGTAACTTAGTGAGACCTCGTCGCTACAATAAATCACAAAAGTTAGCCGGGCATGATGGCATATGTCTGCAGTTCTAGCAGTTCTAGCTACTTGGAAGTCTGAGGCGGAAGGACGGCCTGAGCCCAGGAGCAGGTCGAGGCTGCAGTGGCAGTGAGCATGCCACCGCACTCCAGCCTGGGCGACAGAGTGAGACTCCAACTCAAATAATAATAATAATAACAAAATAAAAGAATCCTGTTTCTTTGCATTTAGGACCATGCTTGGAGCATGCTAATTTTTTTCCCATGTTATGTTTTTAAATTAAGTAACATCTAAACTATGGACATTATGTTTGTTTTCGGTTGCTAATAACATAATGCCTGAAACTGAGTATAAGGAAAAAGAATGTATTTCTTACAGCTGAGGAGGCTGAGAAATCCAAGGTCAAGGGGCCGGATCTAGTGAGAGCCTTCTTGCTGATGGGACTCTCTGCAAAGCCTGAGGCAGTGCAGGGTATCACATGGCGAGAGGACTGAAATGCCAACATGTACTAATGTCTCTCTCCCTTGTCTCATAAAGTCATCATTCCTTCTCCGGAGATAACCCATTAATCCATTCATGAGGGCAGAGCCCTTATGACCCAATCACCTCTTATAGGCCCACCTTTTAATACTGCCACATAGGGATTAAATTTCCACATGAGTTTTGGAGGAGGCAGATATTCAAGCCATAGCAGATATCATTTATTTTAACTTATCAAGTTCTTATCTAATATAACATTAGAATAATGGCAGTATGTTAATTACCAGTAAATTTTTTACTAAGGCAAAATTACTGAGTTGAAGCAAGTCTGATTTTTTTTCACCTGAATAAAACTTAACATAATAAAATAGAAAAAAATACATCGATTCTATTAATAGGTCCATCCTCCAATTAACTTTCTTTTTGCCCATATTCCTCGGCTTCACGCAAGCAGTGGTGATAAGGCACACAGCACCCCTGATTTCTCTTTCTACACCATTACTGTTGAATGTGAAATTGAAATCCACACAAAAGAAAACAACCCGTATATAAATTAAATCTGATTTTTAAAGTGCTTCTGTTGTTTCATTTTCAGAGAATTTTGACTTGCTTGGAGATATTTTCCAATCAATAAAAAGTATCAAGACCTAAGAGGGACTATACTATCTTCTGCAGACTCGTACAGTTCAAATAGGAGCAACAATAATAATTAGTAGTTACAGTAGCTGATACTTATTAATACCTTACAAAAACCAGGCACTATTTGTTCTAAGTGATTTGCACTTAATGCCTCATTTAATTCTTAAAACATACTGTAAGGCAGATACTATAATTATCCTCATTTACAAAAGAAGAAACTGAGGTACAGTGAGATTAAACAATTTAAACCCAGTCTGTCTCTAATCTTGATGATTTTAACCTCTATGCAACTTTGCCTATTAAGAAGCACTAAATGAGAATTGATAAGTCAGATGTTCAACAGTTTAGAGAGTTTGAAATATATATATAATTTCACAGAGAAATCTATCCCTCTAAAAAAGCTAACATCAAATATGAGTGAATCATAGTAATCCAATTTTGCTCATTTAGGTTTTTTAATAAGGACATATCCTGTCATGTTGATACAAAAAGAACTGGGTTATAGCAAAAACCAGATGTTATAGCTTACTTGGAAATACTGCTTAAACTTTTATCACTTGAAAAGCTCATTGCCAACTAAGAAAAAAATGAAATACTTGACATTTTGGTATCTGTGATATTAAAAAGAACTAATATTTAATATTCAAGTGACAACAGCTTGTAGAGTTTGCACACAACACCCACAGGGATCGATTCTTCTTTAAAATGGCCTTTAGGAATCTGCCTTTTAAATAGCTGACACCTCCATTCTCCGCTTCCCTCTTTCCTGCCAGTGCTGTGGGTCGCTCACGGGGTGCAGCCACAGTCCTGTAATTCCTCACTGCAGGATTTGTCTTTGCAAATAATGGAGAATGTGAGAAATTAAGAAAAATGTAATTTCCACGGAATCAACCTCAGTGCAATCTCTACTGCTAAAAAACGAATAGATATCTTCAGAGGGCTTTTCTCCATATGGCCTCCTGGTCCCCTTTACACACCATCCATGAGGAGAGAGAAGAATCATCCTTTCTTAATTGATCGTCAGTCATTCCGCACCTGTACCAAAGCTGTATAATGACGAGTATTCTGTTGCCCGGCATTTTTCCAGTATGACTAATTGTCACAGTACTAATTTACTTACCTGTGGAATTTTCAACTTCCTCAGCCTGCTGTCAAGAAGATGCATAATAATAAAGGTTTAAAATGCTGAATGCTATGAAATATTTCACTTATCTTTCAGTAGAAAGCTTTCACCAAGCCACATGTTAGGTGGCTATAATTACTCACTGCTAGGATAAAAAAGAAATCAGAAAAACCCGGTCACATATACATTGACCTGGTAGAATAATAAGAAGCAAATGAATCAATCTTTTCTGATGTAGAGAAAAAAATTACTAATCAGATTACCTGAAACTTATTTCTTTATCTGCGTGGTTTAGAGTAAATGTACCAGTTCAGTTACTGTTGAGTTCTACATTGCAAAACACTTCCTTTTTATTGCTCTTGTTAGCATTATTTAAGAAAATATTTTTTCTATATCAAATAGATAAAGGAATAATGATTTATTGTTTTTTAAATATGGAAACATTTAAAAAGCAGATATTGGCATATATGATGTTAATTGTATAAACTAGTAAACCAGTTTGCGACACCTTTGCCAACCAGTCTGACCCCAGGATTTTTTTAAATGGTGGGTTGTGCTTTTGAAAATTAATATTTGTCATGGAAAATTCTTACCCGCAAGTACAACAGCTGACTTTTCTGAAGATCTTACATTTGATGGCCCTCACTATGGTACTGAGATATATTTGATGCATCTGTAAAAGTTATGAAGAAACTGCAATTTTCCGGTTTTAACAAATATAAATGTGATATGATGTGCTTTTCTTTTTAATTTATTTTTTATTTTAAATATCCAGGGTGCAATTCAGGGTTAGATATACAAATGTTCATTATGCAGTTACCCTTGTTGATGAGGTGTGCCTCTCTCTTCCCTGGGTTTCCCACTACTGCCAATCCCTTTTTTATAGTATTACCATAGTTGTTCAAGGTCCACTTATGAGTCAAAACATGTGATACTCGGTTCTTTTCTGTGATAGATCACTCAGTATTATAGCCTCTAAGTCCATCCAAGTTGCTGCGAAGTTCATAATTTTGTCCTTCTTTATGGCTGCGTCACATTCCATTGTGTATATGTACCACACTTTTTTTATCCAGTCCTCTTTCAATGGGCAGCATGGTTGGTTTCATGTTTTTGCTATTGTAAATAATGCTGCAATAAACATACATGTGCAGGTATCTTTTTCATAGAATGATGAATTCCTCCGGGTATATTCCTAGTAGGGGGATTGCAAGGTAATATGGGAGGTTGATTTTTAGATCTTTTAGGAATCTCCACATTGTTTTCCACAGAGGCTGTACTAGTTTACACTCCCACCAACAGTGTAGAAGTATGCTTGATTGTTTATGATACAAGTAAAATATAAAGATAAAAGCTCAGGATTTCCTAAAGATTTTTAATATAACTGCTCATTTAATTCTTGTAGTCTATTAAATACAAATTCCATACATTGTTTAATCACCCATCCCCTAGTGTTATTAGATCATCTGAGGGGGGAAAAAGTTTTCTGGTCAAGTTTGGCAAATGCTAGATTAAATACATACAGGCTTATCTTTGTTGTTGCAAAATATCACTTTAAAAGCTACACTTCGGACACTTACAATATGCAAATGTGCACTCCAGAGAGAAGGCATGTGATATTTTCCAACCTCATTTGACCTGACGGTCCCATCACAGCACATCTCTGTAGCCAGGTCTGCAGAACAGGCTCTGTCTTGACTCCTGCTGGCATATCACCTGGACTCAATATATTCCAGCAAAGTTTCAACATTATCCACTTTCCATTGAATCCAAATGGTCTGTGATAGTCTTTGCCTTAGACTCGTTCATGAGGATAAACATGCAAATAGAATCAGAAACTCAAATTCGTTTCTTCTCACCAGATCTCAGCCCCCATATGCCAAGGTTAAAGAATAGTGAGGTAATCCATTCTGTCATGTTGACCCTACAGCAACATTTTTACTTAAAATAGGATGTTTAAGTGATAGAAAAAGGAAAAGGAAACAGCAGCTTCCTCCCCAGCACATGCCTTCCGTTTAGCATATCTTGGAAGATCTTCTCCCTCATTTCAAAATCGATAGTCAACTTTTTGTTGTTGTCTTGCGATTCAGATTCCTGTCCTCTTTTTCCAGCCTATTTGCTCTAACACTGAATTTTAAGCATCTCTAAAAATGCTTGATATGTTATTATTCTTTCCAGATATCCTCTGAGAGCCAAGCAAAGAACATTAAGAAAGGAAAGAGGAATGAGGCTGGATACAGTGCGGTGAGAGAAGCACTTCCAGGAGAAGGGGGCTCCCTCTGCAGAGACTCGACGGTGCCATCAGAATGAGAACTTACCGGTACTTCTTGCTGCTCTTTTGGGTTGGTCAGCCCTACCCAACTTTCTCAACTCCGTTATCTAAGAGGACTAGTGGTTTCCCAGCAAAGAAAAGAGCCCTGGAGCTCTCTGGAAACAGCAAAAATGAGCTGAGCCGTTCAAAAAGGAGCTGGATGTGGAATCAGTTCTTTCTCCTGGAGGAATACACAGGATCCGATTATCAGTATGTGGGCAAGGTAGGAATCCTTTGGGTGCTTTGACGTTCTGGGTTTAAAAGCCTCAAGAAGTCACTTCTAATAAATAGACGGGGAGGATGTGAACTACTCCCCCAGACGGTAAAAACTGTTGCTATCTGGTAAGACTTTTTTTTTTATTTCCACTTGAGTAGTTTCGGAAAGAAGACTGTAGCAAGAAGCTGAGAGATGTTCGTGCTGCAACAAAGAGAGAAATGCTCCAGTTGAAAATGAAACGCCCACAACCATCCACATAGGATTATCATAAATCCTTTAATTTTTACTTTAGCTTGAAAAATGTGGTCCAGCTATTCTATAGAATAGAGTGTATTAAAAATAGGAATAGAGAGATTAAGCTGTGAGGAGAAGAAGGTTCTCTTTTCTCATGCTGAAAGCAAACATTCTAAGCTAGAGTCCTTTGGCCAAGTCCTAGTTAACTGTTTCTTACTCTGCCACCTACGGCACCATCCGTGCTCTTTGCTGTCAAAACTGCCTTGGACTCGGTTGCTCTTGCTACTACTGCTGTTTAGTCTTACCTCAAATGATTGGCAAGAACCAGGCATTTCAAAATCTTGTAATTTAATTGTGCCAAGGCTTACAAAAGAGAAAAATGTTTATACAAAGGTGCCGTTTCCAAATATCATCTGACCATTTTACTGACTCCACAAAGTAAAGTGAGGAAGCAGGGCTGCTATAGCCCTAACAGATTACTGGAGCTGAGTCAGGGAAACAGCTTGTTTAGACTGTCATCATGAGTTTCCCTGGAATTTTATCGCCAGCTACATTCTTGATGCAGAATATTTGCATACTGAAAAGATGTCAAAGGAAAAACAGGGTTGCAGGTTTGTACTTTGTAGACTCTGTGTCTCATAACGTAGTATCAACTTTTAAAAATCATTGTCTTAGGGTTAGGGTATAAAAAAATAAATAAATAAAAAATAAAAATCATTGTCATACATTCCTTCATAAGCACGCTGAGAATGAACATAAGATATACCTGATAAGATGCTCCCATTTATGATTGCAGTGATGATTTTAAAACATCTCTATTTGGATAGCATACAATTAACATCTATTTTGTAGATTCCCAGGGTTGCATGTTCACACGTCAATCTTTGATCAAATAGCCCTGCATAACCATTTGCAAATATTCACTTTGCCACCGTAAATGAAGGCAAGTCGTCCATGGCTTGGGCTGGGGTAACCAGGCAGTGTTCCAATGAAGTGAATTATTAATGTGGAGTAAAGTAGGAGAGGAAGTATTCAGTGAAGGGGTGAACATCAACACAGATCCCCAAGGACCTGGCCATGTATTTGCTGTGAAACTCACACGCCGTGTGACTACTGAATAAAGACAGTTCACTGGCATGTACTCACTCCATTTCCTTTGTGAAATGTGAATAATACTACATGAACAGGGTGATGGTGTAAAAAACAATAATAATCATCTTAAAATCTGTACTTTTCATAACACAAATTGCATTCTTGCCATAGAAGATTATGTTTTTAAAAATGCTCATTCTAAATGATAGATCCCCTTTTTCCTTTCCACTTTTCTTCTCGAATTGTGATGCCATTTTACATCCATTAAACACCACATATTCTTAAAGGAAGGCTAGGATGTTTCAAGATAGTCAAAGCAGCAGTGGATAAAACCGCCTAAGAATCGGCTTTACAGTTATAATTGTGAGAGGTAATATTTCCATTGGGGAAAAGTTACAAGCTGTGGACTCAAGTAGATGCAAGAATGCATTTCTGTGCTGCCAGTTGCCAGTTATGTGACCCAGGGCAGGTTGTTAACCTTTCTAAGCTTTGGTTTCTTCATCTAGAAAACGCATACCAGCAATGTCTACCTGGTGGAGTTGCAGTGTAGTTTAAGTGAGAAAGGCACTAGTGGTTGATGCATTGTAGGTGCATAAGATTACTATTATTGGTTCCAAAAAAATCCATTGTTTATGGTCTGTTAAATCTATGTGTAAGGCATTGAAGCAGAATATTGACTTTTATATCACTGCAGAAGTGAAATGAAGTAATTAACAAATCTCTCGGTGGAAAACATAGAGAATAGTGGCAAAAATCCCTTCACAACCGCAGCTTTGATTAGATTAGTTGGATTTGGGTGTTTTATTGGCAGTTAGATAAATGTCCCTACCTCATCAGCTGCCCTTCCCTGCTGCCCTTCCCTCTCCTCCTTGAAGTTAGAACACATGAGAGAATATTAGCTGGGGGGAAAAAAGTCACAGGCAATCATTGAAGCTATCATTGTTGCTGGCTTTGCTGTATCAGACATGTGCAAAGGATGTTCTCATTTGCCCAAATCCACCTTTGAAGTCACATGACAGCAACGGACAAAAGAATTAGACTACAATGGGTCATGTTGTTTTTTTTTTAACCACAATTAAAAACAGAAAAAAGATACATTTTTTATAAAGAAGAAAAAAAATGGGTTTGTTCCTAATTGTGGCAACAAGTTGGTCCACCTTTAACTGACTTAGACTAAAACAGACACCTGATGTGATTATCCTAATTCACTAGGTCAGGAAACTTCTGGGGGAAAGAAACCTTTAGATTAGAGCAGAGGTTTCAAAACTTTCTTGGTTCATAGAGCTCTTTTCATGGTGCCCTTAGACTGAAAAGAATACTTAACTGTTCCATGTATAAAATAGGCTCAAACAACTTATAAGTACCTTCTGTTGTAATAACTTAGTAACCGTTTGAAAAATAATACACATACATTAACAGAAAAAAAATTTTATTTCACTCTTCACCACAGTTATTTACAAATGGAATGTGTGCATCTATTGGGCGCCACACAATTTCTCAATCAGATAGGGTACTGCCCCTCTTGTTTCCTTATCCACATTGATTTTTGCACTGTAATTGCTTTTAAGCAGGGCCACTACTGAAAACCCTGTTTTAGAAATAGATGACATCATCGAAAGGAACGCAGCGCCACCTACTGTTGAAACTGTGAACTGCCTCGAGCTTGTAATTCTCAGCGTGTCTGACAGAGGTCAGGTGTTGCTGTAGTTCCTTCCAAGTTTTAAAATATTTTCTGATGAGTTCGCGGCTCCACCCCAGGCTGCCTCAGTGAACACGCTGGGAACCATGGAACTGTAGTTAGGTTGACCTATAAAGGTGTCCAAAGGCTAACAGACCTTTCAATCGTGCTATTGACCCTACTAGGTAGAAATTACTTGTGGGTATCTAAAACTGCAAAGATTGACCTGTACATGGAAGGATAGAAGCACTAACTGAGGAAAAGTAATGCCGTTAAGCAAATAACACTTCAAGTAGAAGAAAGACAATTGTACATTATTACCATCTGTTAATCTATGTGTCGATTTGTTCAGATTATTTTGGAGTAAATCAAGGGGATGGCCGTCACTGTGATGCAGTGAGAAAAATGTGAGAATAGGTAAATCAAGGGGATGGCCGTCACTGTGATGCAGTGAGAAAAATGTGAGAATAGGTAAATCAAGGGGATGGCCGTCACTGTGATGCAGTGAGAAAAATGTGAGAATAGGTGTGGGGAAGAAAGGGCTTTCGGGTGTAGGAAAGAGAAAAAGGGACGGTCATGTGAGGTCACAGCAGCCAAAAGGGAGTCCATGGGCTGGAGTGGCAATGAAGTGATTAGACAAGATTGTATTTTAAAACGGAAGCCGAAGCAACGGGCAGCGAAACATTCCTTCTCCTTTTAACATCCCTCAGCCTTCTGCTGTGTTGCCAGTGAGATGCATGCAGAAACACGAACCAGGCAGGGTTGGGAAGAGATGGGCTTACTGAGACTAAAAGTATTGAAGGCCAATTATCATTGAAATGGTGATGAGCCTAATACTGATTTGTGAGAAAAATGTCAACACTTTGACTCACCTAAGATGGTGGTGGCAGGTAAGGGGAACAGGGAGATGTAAGCGGTCCTGGTTTGGTTGTTTATGACATATGGACATAGAAACAGAGAGGATACAATGTTTTTGTAAAACATATGACCATCTAGGGGCAACTTTGAACTGTTTTAGCACAAGTAGCAAGTAGCAAGTAGCATGTGTCACCAGGGAGCTTGTTGGAAATGCAAGATCTCGGGCCCCACCTCAGATCAGAATCTGCATTTTAACAACATCCCCAGGTGAATTGTATGCACATTAACATTTGAGAAGTGCTTTTTTTAAAAAAATACCTTGCCTGGGTCTCAACTCCCTGGAGTTACCGATTTAGTTGATCTTTAATTAAGTATTTTGGGTCAGACGCCTGTAATCTCAGCACTTTACAATGCCAAAAGGGAGGATCGCTTGAGACCAGGAGTTCAAGACCAGCCTTGGCAACATAGCAAGACCTTATCTCTACAAAAAAATAGAAAAATTAGTCGGGTGTGGTGGCATGTGCCTGTAGTAGTCCCAGCTACTCCGGAGGTGGAGACAGAATGATCACCTGAGCCCAGGAGGTCGAGGCTGCGGTGAGTCGTGATCATGCCACTGCACTCCAGCCTGGGCAACATAGTGAGACCCTGACTCAAAAAAAAAAATTAATTATTTCTGATACTATCATGCTGCCAAATTTGAGTACTGTCTTAGGAGGTGATTATTGCCAATCGTGATAACAAAATGTAGTTAAGTTCAGTGATAAAATAGCCATCCACGAAGTGCTATCAAAATATAAAGGAGAGGGGCCAACCAAGCTTTGGGTTCAGCAGAGCTTCCTAGATGTTTGAACTTCATCTTAGAGGCAGAACAGATGTTAGCTTAACTGCAGAGGGAGAATTGCCAGGACCTTCCAGTTAATTGGATGCAGAAGCCAAAGCAGAGAAAGCCAGAGAGGTTCAAAGAGTCAGAGATTGAAAGATTGAACAACCGGGAGCGTGAAAGGGTCCTCTCACATCGACACGAACAACACCAAGAGGTACATATTTTCTTGTCAGGGGCTAAAGGAAAGAGTATTTGATTTTTGTACTAAATCCACTGGGGTTATCCTTGGCTTGCGTAAACTTAATAGAAAAATAGAGGGAA